GATCGGCAGATACTTAGTAGTAAGTTTTGATGTTGCGTCTATGTACACAAATATTACTGCTCAAGAAGCCATTCAGGTTCCAACACAAACTCTGGAGGAGCATCCAGGGATCATAGGAATAAGGTTAAGTATAGCCTTTATTCTCAGAATTCTTAAATTATCCATGGGTATCAGCTATTTTACCTTTGATGGCAAGTTTTATGAACAGACCTAAGGGCTTGCAATGGGATCCTTCATAGCTTCCATATTGGCTAACAGCTATATGGCCAAACTTGAGGAACAATATATAAAACACACAATACTGACGTCTAAATTGTCGGTTAGATACGTAGATAATTATTTTGTCATCTGGTCTTATGGTAAGTAAAGCTTAGATAGTTTCCTATTTTCACTTAGCCAATGCGGAAGGAACATCAGGTTCATAATGTAAATAGAAGAAGATAGGCTCTTATCAGTTTTAGATCTTCTGACCGTTAGATAATGGGGTAAGTTAGGAAGAGATGTTTATAGGAAACCAACGTATGTTGTCTCTTCTGAATTTTCTTTCCAACCATAGCTACAATACGGAGGTTGGAATTTTAAAATCAATCATTATTAGGAGTATGTGACTAGCGGATGGCAACTATTTGATTAAGAGTTGGAACGGCGAAGACTATTTAGTTAAAGAAGACAATAGGAAACCTTTTCTCCTAATATTATCGTCATGCGTTCTTTCTAACAAGATAGACGAATTAGTGAGAAAGTCTGGAGTAAAAACAGTGTGTGAAGAAGCCCTCACACTGTCTTCGGTTATGCCATCTGTTAAAGAGAAATATGACCTATTATCGAGATCAGGATGCTACAAGGTTGTTGGTGAGACATGTACGCCCATTCGAAAAAGACTGGTGGAATAGAAAAAATGATTGTAAAGGGAGCTGGGTCCGACGGCCGAACACATGGCAGAGACCGAACATGGGATAGAATACTCTCAAACTAGTAGGTTTCCTGATTATGGTACATCTGCTGTTAAAAGGAAGATAAAAGAGGCTATTAAAATTAATAGATTAGGGAACAGATTGAATATGAGGAACGCTGGCAGAAACTTGAGTAATAACTTTTTATCGAAGGTATGAAGACTAAGATGGTGTGGCATTTTGTATGATCGGGGTCTCCTTTCATTCTATACAAGTTGTTTGTCCTTGTTTTCGCAACTTGATCATATTGATAGGACGACTTAGAGAAACGCACCTAGTCCTGAGTCCATAGTATGCATGACAAGTTCCAGAGTCGGAGAATGGTACATTCCCAGACGTTTCGCCGGCATCGTTAATGAGCATTGCCAGTCTTAGCACCACACTACAACTCTTCGAAGAGACAAGTGAGGCCGATCCTTTGATCAATTGTAGGCTAAACAATCGTGGTATCCTTTCTTCCGCCCTGGGCTATTCACCAATCCTATATTCTTGTATTACGCCTTCACTATCACAATTTATTAATTGCCTATTTGAATGACATGCATACTCCCGCCTTGTTGAGTAGGTCCCTAAAAATCAGAACTTTCAAGCTGAATAAGAGACTAACTCGTGGCTAAAGAGCCTGAGTGATTATCGGGGTCAAGCCCTTGCTTCGTGGACTACGTCTATCATTAAACACGTCTAATGTTAGCAAAGTAGCTCTAGTCTTCGCCGCATTTATCCTGCTTCTGTCAGTCAGAGGCTTGAGACAGTGTGGGAAATAACGCTTCGAATAGCACAGATAGGGTGGCAGGGGTCGAGTGAAATATCTAAACCAGGAGGATAGAAGGCAGATACTACGGGGCAAGAGGAGATTGATATGACCTATGAGTAGAGGATTGAACAATAATATGGCAGACTGATTAACATTCAGCACAAATGTGAAAGCCAGCATGGGTTGTGGAGAGTTATTATGAGATACGCTCAAAAGGGCACACCATGCCATATTTAAATAAGCAATTAAGAAATTATCATAATGAAGGTGCGATAGGAGGATATGAGATTGGTGAATAGACCATGGCAGGAATAGAGATACCACTATTGTTTAGCAGACAATTGGTCAACGGATCGACTTCACTTGTCTCTTTGACGAGTTGTAGTGTGGTGCTAGGAGTGGCAAGACTCATTGACGATGCCGGCAAAACGTCTGGGAATGTATCTGGACAATATCATGCATTCTATGGACTCCGGACTTGGTGCATTCCTCTAGGTCCAACCAATATGACCAAGTCGCGAGAACAACTTCTATGAATTATTTATACTTGATTTATAGAGTGAAGGAGCGAAGAGAGGGTGTTGAGCCCCCATCCATAAGAAGTCGACTCAAATTTTCCGCTCAGTGATGATTCTAATTAGCTCACACTCGTCAATCTAATAGATTAAGTTTATCAACCAAACCAGACGTACCAGATTACACAGCTCTGGCCATGACTTTCCTTCTGTGGTTAAATTTTTGTGACCCTAGACTGAGAGGTTAGGACAAGTGGTTTCGTAACCTGACCTGCCATGCTTACATCTCATTATCTCAACCATACTTGCCTACGAACTTACGCAGTCTCGAGGTGGGTTTTTTCTTGGATCATTAAGCCTTTATTGAACACTGATTTAGGACTGGTATTGCATATACACGTTAATTCACACACACTCGAGCAAAAGTAGCTAGATTACTATGAAAGATTATTAGCCAAACTATTCTATGTCTATCCATGCCTATTCATTTTTCGTTTTTATTTTGATTATGTATACGAAGTAAGTTAGAGCCTGATAGTCTTCTCGACCTAGTGTTTTAATGAGACTTTTATCAGAATCAGTTCCGACTCGAATGATGTCTATCATATGATGGGCGAAAGCTCATCCGTAGCGAGGGAGGATGTCTCGTGGATTGCGTCAACCTGAACGTCGTGTTGAAGCCAAACGGCTACAGTACAACGGGAGGAGGTCTTCCCAACAAAAGACGTATATTTGTTCTTTCAACGATTATTTGAGGGTCTTATGACGCGGTTCAACTCATTCTCATGGATTTTCGCATGGTAATAGCCCTGAGAGATTTACGACGCGATTCATCGATAATACGAAGTCAATTGTTCTTCTTCAAACTCAATAGGCAATTTGGATTCATTCGCAAGTTTTTTCATCATTTAGGTTTATTGCTTAGAATTGCACTATATCGAGGTTTATACCTCAGGATTGCTCAAAAGTATTTTTCTATTTTATTCAGGTAGTATTCTGTTTGGGAACTTTCTATTAACTTAGCCAACTGACTAATTATATTTATTTATTTACTTTCACATTTTTTCCTTTATCGTATTTCTAACTAATATTCCTTTCGCCTTCCATTTTTCTAGTGCTTGCTATGGGGGGAGTAGAGGACGTCAGGCTTGTGCTCGATCACTATCGCAATTTCGCTGATCCTTTAGCCGAATTTCGTATCAGGCACCATCAATTTATGGTAAATCGTTTTCACTTCCTACTTTCTTTTTCATGTCATTTTTATCTAAATTCG